TCATGAGAATGAATCACAAAAGCTGATGCATACCATGTTCTAATAGTTTCTCTCTCTCCCTCTTTCCTTTTGAAAGTAAGAAAATTTTCCTGTCTCCTATTAAACCCTCTATATAAAGCGCTCAAGGACATATTGCAGTGATGTCTACTTCATTATAAATGAAAACTTGAAGTGCAATGTCCGGCCTTTCTATTATTTTTTCAATGGTGTACACGAATTTTATCCTTTGAAAACTGGTTAAATCAGTTTATCCGAAATGTAATTTCTAATGTACATTTTACGAAACTTCCTGTTATAAATGTGAATTTTATCTTAAAAATAAAAAATATCTAAGAATTATTTCACTTCAGCTATAATATCAAATTAAATTTCTTATATAGACGGTATTTCATCGGGGTTTGGCGAGACAATCAAATTTTTGCGTCACTGGACCTTGGAGTCATACAAATATAATTTGCTTCGAAAAAACTTTCAATATACAAATGACATGTTTTATTTCTATAGCACAGGGCATTATTTTTCCTGTCGGTATATATTCTGCATGATTGATGTGCCTTTTTCTAAAGTTTAAACCAAAATGTCACATTATTTTACTTGTTTTTGATAATCTTATATAAATCAAAAGAATTTGAAATAAACGCTAAGATATAGTTAATAAGCTACAAACGTTTTATAAATTGTTGAACAAAAAATAAAGGACATAAAACACTCTTAAGAAGACGTGCCAATCACGAGGAGTCTCCTCTTTGAGATGAGTAATCATAACAAAATACAAGCACCCTTTAACACACTTTATCATCATAAGTGTTTAACTTCTCCCTTTTCTAATAATGAGGAAGAATAAAACACTTCAAAATATCTTACATAATTTTGAGTGAAGCTTTGTCATAATTAGAGTCTACTATATGGAAAAACCGTGGAATATCAAGGACTAAGCATAATAATTAATATAAAATACGCAGTGAGATACAATAATCATCAATGCATTTAATTAGATTTGCTATTAAAGTTTATTACCCAAACATCCCCAGTTGTCTGTCAATTGAAAGTAGGATTTTATAAATTTGTAATTCATAAATCAATTTTACTTAAAATTTGCAACTTTAATTCTGATCACATGTATATGAAAATAAAATTTTCAATTTTCTCTCTCAAATGGAAATGAAATCTTTTTAACAGATAACAAATATTATCTTTTTAATGGAGCATTTTATTATTTTTACTGTCGGAAGTATGGGATGATTTCAGTTATTTATTTAAAACCTGAAACGCCACATTATTATTTAAACATTAGTTTTGTGGACTGTTTCATAAATCAAAGAATGAAACATCAAACCCGGAGATATCACCAATCTGCGGAAATAATAAAAAACAACAAATAGTTATTGTTTAAAACTCTGAATTGAATACACTATTGTCACACATGTGTCTTACTCCCGACCACATGGAAGAGTTGTATAAATCAACACACAAAACGTTTAGGAAAGGTAAAACATCACCCTCAAAACCACATAAAACAGATATTAGAATTACTACTCAAAAAGAGGTCTCTTATTGTAATCTCCTTAAATTAGATACAATATCGACGTTTTACTTTTTAAAAATATTTATTTTTCCTCCAACAACGATTTAAAAAATCTACTTTAAAAACATTTTTGATCAACCCTAGTATGCTTTTTTTCAACATTCTTTATCCTTTAGATTTATTAATGTCAAATTAGAAATTATAAAATTGATAACAAAAGGAACCTTATTGGTAATCCACTTCTTCCATGTGTTATGAATTCAGAGGAAGAGCCAGAAGTTTACGGCAAATTATGTCTAAAAAGCAGAGGCATTGATTCATAAGAATTTATTTTTTTGCAGGTTTTCGAGATAAAATAGGGCAATGTTCAATGCTTTTTATACAATGCCCTATCGCTGATGTCCTGTTGCTTAAAAATCAAACATATTACTTTTATTTAATAAACAGAAAACGGGACAATTGTAAAACCTCTATCATCACGAGACTCTACTTCTCTCTAAATAAGAATGAACATGATAGAAAAGGATTGTATTTTCGTTACAAAGTACTAGATAACAAAATCCCAAGACTGTAGAAACAATTTGAGGGAATAAAAAACGATAAAGTAACCATGGCAGTATTATAAAATTGATAAACAGAATGGATGTTGCCTGTATAAATGTTTTATTTAAATATGATTGACTTCAAATTGTTTAACTTTCCTATTTAGTATTTTCCATTCATATGGTGACGTCACAGCTTGCCGGTTGAGAGCTGCAAATTTTGTCCTAAACTCGTTACTAAGGGCAATTAAGAAGGGAGGGCTCTTTTTCGTGTCAGCACCTACGACGACAAGGGACCTCGGTTTATACAGTCTCATCCGAAGGACCGGTCTCCACGTCACACAGGGGAACTTCTTACTTCGCGACGCTAGACTCTATCCATTGCGGCACGCGGGCGACTTATTAAAAATGAATCAAACTAATAAATGGTTCACAGACGCACAAACACCGACATCATATCAATGTCTCAGGTATTTAACTGCATGGTCTTTGAAAACTTGCTGATAGTATGCATGGAAAAAAGGAAAATAATATAACCAGGGGCAAAAGTTTGATATAACTGTCATTTTGCTTTCTCTCCTTTTTTATCTTAAACGTTCCTCTTTTTACATGTATTATTTTTGCCGATTTTCCTCTATTGTATAATTTTACACGTGCTCCACTGTGTGATTCACTCATTGCTTAAACATTCTCAAGAATGTTCTATTTAAAGTACAAGTGCTGAAGTTTATGCGTTACATGTTTATAATGGCTTTCTTTAAAAAAAAACAACATGATTTACAGAGAACAGGTAAATAATAGTACGTCTGCAAAATTAAAACTTTCTTTTTAAATCATTGATAAAAAGCATAAATATAATCAAAAAAATATACATATATACATTGCAAAAATACTTTTTACATAGAATGCATTAATATTGTATACCTACGTATCAAGAGAACAATAGCATATAAATAATCTGTACTACAAATCCAGATAGCAATCACTCACTTACAATACGAAAAGCGTACCTTGAAAACTTTCCAATTTTGATGTTATTGGAAGCAAAACACAATATCATTTTCGTACTTTTTTCACGCATGGATTACATTTTATTTTTACACGGAAAAGATGTTAGATGTGTAAATCTTCATTTTTTTTACCTTTTTCTGTTCTAAAATCACGGTGAGTACATTAATCTATGAAGGAGGAGACCTCCGGTTATCTTCTTTCTGTATATTTCTTGGTCTCTGAGTCATTATCGAAAATACGCACTCTTTCGCGTCTGTGTCAATTTGAACGGAAAAACATGTTTGAGGCAAAAATATATCTCATAAGGCTTTAAAAAATCAAAACTTTATTCTCTGAATACATTAACTTATAATGTTATTGCTTAAAGTAAAAAAAATATATATTATTTTATAATAAGATATAACTGACTTCATGCTGTCAATAGATTCTGTCAATTGTCTTTAGCCTACAACAACTTAAAAATCATATTTTCTAATTCATATATCTTACTATTAGAAAATATAAAAGAATGTGTCTTTCTACAATTGTTTCATCATTATTTTTTTTTTCATTTCTTTCTACAACTTTATTTAGCCTGTTATCATTTCTCTCTACTAATTTATTAAGCCAGTTTTCAGAGAGGACTCCGTTTATTTGATTAGAGTTTAATGTACGTATTAGAAGGGGACTGGTTTTAATATTTGGAGAAAGCGGGATAACTCTATTAATATTTACGACTCCTCTGACTAGAAGCGGTGAATCCCCAAGTTAAAGAAATCTCCATTTGTCACATATATATCATCTTCTTCAGGTGATATTCTATTATTTTCAGTTTATTACGTCTTTTATCTATGGAACGAGATTGATGTTTATTTTAGGAACATGTTTTGACTCGATATGAGAATGATAAATGTATGAATTAGTGTTACAGGCTACACAGTGAGAAAATAAACAGTTGCCAACATGTGGGTAAACAAGTATTGTCATTGTTTATAGATGCATATGTATTTATATGTTTATATTCTCTTAGGACGAATAGCTCTTTAGGTATAAAGTGACAGAGAATATAGATTTAATTGATAGTATTAAGTAATTTGGAATTTAAAAAAAGTGTTGATATTTATTTGATAACTGAGTAATTTTGACCTTAATTGTGCACTCTAACCTCAAGCGTAATGGCTGCGCCCAGTATTTACATAAGAGTTCGAGAGAATATAGGTTGTTTTATTTTACTATGTAATTCAATTTTGTTGAGCAAGATTAAATCTATTAGTAAGAAATAATAACTAAAGTATTAATAATGTATGTATATTCCCATTTATTGTAATTTTGTTTTGAAGAAAACCATATCTAGTCATAAATCTTGATTGCAGTATGTCCTAATAAGTCAAATATCTTGTCCGCTTCAAGTATTACAATTAGGTTATTTTATTATGTAATTCATTTTTTCGTTGTTGAGCAAGATTAAACCTATTAGTAAGAAAGAATAACTACAGCATTGATTATGTACGTTTTTGCATATTTATTATAATTTTGTTATAAGGAGTAGTCATAAATAATGATTGCATTGTGTCGCAATAAGTCAATATGTTTTAACTTGTTAAAGTATTACCTGAAGAACCAAAGGGAGAAGATGATACATATGTGGCAATGGCAGAATTTTTAAAACTTCGTCAGACATATACTTTTTTGTAATCATGCCAACTTAATGGTAAGCAAAAGTACTCAGGCTATGAATTAAGTCTTATAATACACCAGGCAATATAAACATTTATATCAGTAACATAAGAACACAAAATGGCATTATTTCCTTTATACACGAGCTTGTTTTACTTATCAATTGAATAGAACTAATAAACTTTATGACATGACTAGAATTCAGTACAATAGAGCTATTTCATTGAACGCAGGTAACAGTTTGTAAATATTTAAGCTCTTTAAAAAAAATTTTTGGGAGAAGGGGGGTATTAAATATTCATAAGATGATTTATAATTAAGCATATTTTTGAAAGATATAAAAAAATAAATGCAAATATTTTTATTTTTATACCTCCAGCATTGAAACTGTACCTTTTTTTCTTTCTCAATCCTTTAATCAAGTTTGTCTTCAATACATTTATAATTTGAAAGCCTTGCAACATGTATCTGCTTCTAGCTACAGAAACCGTAGCGTTATGTTTTATATTTTAGTTATTGATGAAAACACAACCGATCTCGTAAAGTAAGTATTGAGCAGTTAACGACGTTTTTTGCCGACTTTGGGGATATATTTTTCTTTATTTCAGCATTGAGCTATCAATTATCTTTCATTCCAAAATGTAAGATATACTCTTTTTTCAACCTGTATATTGTATCCGCCTCCATTCCCTTTATAGACTTCTCTTGTGACACCCCCCATCCTCGAAAAAAGTTTTTTTTTTATCAATTAAAAAACGATTTAATAAGATTTAAAAGGATGATTATAAAGGGGCAGGGGGGATAAAATTCACAGGTTGTTAAAGAGTATTTCTCAAATTAGGAAAGGACAGGTGGTTCATTAAACAATGCAGGAAAGTAAAAAAAAAGTATCCCTCTCCGTGCGCAAAATTTTGCGCCGTAAATTAGCAACATTTGCATCACGGGATCTGTAGCATTTGTGTCTAAAAGACTAAAATATATGTCAATGTGAAGTGAAGGTTCCTGAGGGTGGCTTATAAACTTCAAACTGCTCAAAAAGAGCGGGAAATTTAATTTTCGCTTATGACGTTACTCTGTCAAGGCCTTCAACGTTAATGTCATGAAAATAAATCATATAATACTTTGTTTTCCCATTCATTGGTTTGGCATTACATGCAGCCTTTTCCACACACTGTATATAAAAAATACACGAACAAGTAACAAGAAATATTGGTGTTTGAAAATAAAATTTACGTAATTATCATCTCAATATCATTTATAAACTGTAACAGAATGAAATTCTAATTATCAACACACATGTACGGAGATGACAGACTGATGGATACTACTTCTACCCAGTTATGTGACCTTTCACGGGGATCAGTTGAAATTCAAGGAATGTATTTAAAAAAAACATTGTCTTTGTTGTTAACATACTTTGTATCATTAGACTATTAATTATAAAACTACAATTAATAAAATAAAAACAAAACTTTTATAATGTAACAATACTTAATGCGATTTTCTTGTTTTTAGTTATTAATGTTACATGTACAACATTATCTTAAAAATAAAACATATTACGATTTTTCAATAAATTCATTACACATAATAACATTATATATTTATTACAATGTATATACTGTAGAAACCACCATTATGTCTAAAAAAAAAGTTTTAATCATCTAAAATAAAACTATATAACTTTTCATATCATGGGTGAACAAGTATGAATATCAAGATATAAAAAGTCAGGTAGGTTTGATCATCATGAGAGTCTCATTTATCTGTTTACTATCAGTCACTGTAGGATACCATGGAGATTCCCAGGACCCCGGGGACCATTGACCGTTAAGGAAGGCCCGGTGGCAGATTTTGAACCACCAGCCTCCTCTACGTTTTCTGTAAGCAGCACAGTGACCAGTACTAAACCTGTCGTTATCTCTGTCCGGGGTACTGAAGGACATCCCAGACAGATCATGGTAAGAAGAACCAGTGTGTAACATAGCGTCACCTGTAAAATTATCAAAGAAAAATATAACATGAACACCTATTTCAGATTAGATCATTATAATTTACTAAACATTTAAAGCTTAAAGCATCTATAGTATTCAACAAATAAATCTTTTTTTCGGAATTACTTTAAATTGCATTGCTTTCAATTACAATAGATGTCCACTGTTTTCATTTCATATCTAAAGTTGTTTTTCTGTTGTTATTTGATTTCTTTTTTGACTGTATACGAACATGTTGATTAGTCTCAACAGAAATAAAAGACTGATTGATTTATTGATTGTATCTTGTTTAGCGTCCCTCTCGAACATTTTTCACTCATATGGTGACGCCATCACTTGCCAGTTGAGAACTAGAAATTTTGTTTTATAATACATGTTCTACACGGCAATTGAGCAGTGAGCTATGTTTTTTGTGCCAGCATCTACTACGACACTGGACCTTGATTTATACGGTCTCATCCGAAGGACCAGTCTTCACGCCCTACAGTGGGATTGGAACCCGCGACGTTAAGATTCCTTACTTCACGGCTCTAACCACCGCGCCACGCGGGTGACGTCAATAAATTTAATTATTATTTCATTCACGAGAAGCCTTTTTTAAACTTTGAAATGGGGAAGCCTGTATACGTACATATAAAGAAGGGATATTTAAAACAATTATTTCATGAACCAATAAATTGATATAACATTGGAAAATAAATTTTGATTTTTTTTTGGGGGGGGGTGCACCTCTTTAAGTTAACAGTACAGGAAACAATAGCTTTTCTTCCATTTTATCAACACATTAATCATTAGAATTCTTCAAATTTGTGCGACTACACGTTGATACAATTTGTGTAGTTAACTTCTTTCTTTAGTGTTGTATTGTTTTTGTTAAGTCTACTTCGCATATCTTCAACACAAAAGCGGGATAATTACAAAAAGTCCTCGTTATCGAATGTAATAATTACATTTCCAATGCAAGTTGTTTTTTTTAATTCAATAATCGTTTAACACCTTAATTGATTTCTCTGTATGAGTTATGTATCTAACAACATTACGTACAAGTACGCATGTAATGTTTATGACGTGAAAATGTTCAGTCTTTAAGAAATTTACTACTGATTGGCTCATATAGTATGGACTCTTGATTCTCAATATACAAGGAACATTTTACTTTCAAAATATTGATATCCACACATCCCCCCTCCATTAATTACGTAACTATAGGGTAGATTCTCACAGAGAGAATTGATATTTGTCTATCTGTCACAAGAAATTAAACTCTTTCTCCCTCTCTCTCCTAAATATAGGTCGTCATTCGTACATTCTTTTTTCAGTTTACCTACCTAGGGTCCCGGTAGCTGGTCCGCCAAGAAAAAGTCTGTATTTGCTGGTTTCGTCAGCAACAGAGAACTGGTTGTATAATTCATAGAGCCTTGTCCCATTAGTCAGTGTGATACATACGTAGAGGGAGGTGTTACTTCTCTTAGTAAGTTGATGTATAACGTCATTTCCTTAAATATTTTATCGTCGTATAATATATAAAGAATTAATAAAGCAAAACATATTTATTTCAAGTTGTCATATAATTCAACATATGATTATGAAGGTATGCAGAAATTTCTAATTGTGTAGTGCATGCAGCAATGAACATACATGTTTTGAAATCAAAGTAGGGAAATCGTTATATATTGTATTTTACATAAATTGTTATAAATTGTTATAAACTTCATTTTAACTGCTAAAAAATTAAATGCTAATTTAAACTGTTAATAATCAGAAGAATTATCATCCCCTAAAACAACATTAAATATTACAGAGTTATAAAATGGGTACAATGTAAATAGCAAATTAATGGTTTCCCGAGGGAGGGGAATATTTCTACATCTGGAAAATTAACCCTTGGGGAGCCATAAATTTGCTTTGTCCTCTGTAGTCATTCTATAACTGTTTATAGTTTACCAATCCAGTAGGAGTCGTTAGGATTCCCGAATCCCGTTTTGTAGTCCGTCCAGTTTCTGTCGAATGACACTACACCACTGACACGTTTCTGTATAGCCTAAGAATTTATGAATTATGTCGGGTTTATTAAAAAAAAGTAGTGAAGAGTGGTTTTTATGCTATGTTTTACTGTGAACAATGTTTCAAATAGGGTATTCATTAAACAATCACTCAAAACCTATTTTTTTTTCTTTTAATATAATCAATTTTTACGTAATGATACAGTACAGGCAACGCGGGTCCCGTATTTCCCGCGTCCCCGCCGCGGTATAATCACAACGCGGTATTTGGCCAGGTAGACAGGTAAACCGCGTTCCCTCCGCGGGAAATTCATCACTTACCTGTCCCCGCCGCGGTTAAATCATCGATCAATTACTGACAATTAGTATCGTAAACAAACGGGAGTTATCTCCCCGAATTGTAATTTGCAAATTTTCCCTGTAACAAAAAAAAAAAACAAAAACAAAAAAAAAACAAAACAAACAAACAAACAAAAAACGTGTGTTTATTAATAAATTTTGCTATGATAGAATTTAAACTAAGAAAAAATAAGTTTATTTTTGTTTCTAAAATTACATATCAATCTTTGAAATTGAATAGAAAATTTTATTAAATTGTTACGTCTTTGCAATTGGTTAATTATTTTGTGTTATTAAGAATCTATCAAGAAACAAAATTAAATACTAGAAATTTTAATTAGTTTTTTTTTTTAATCTTCATATTATACATGTTATATGGAAACTGTAATAAATGTTGAACTCGGACTGTTTAAGTTTTGATGAACGATTTTCAGCATTCATTTGAAAAAAAAAAAGATGTACATCTTTTAAAAAATGTACATCTTCATATTGTTTATTAATTAATTTCGATTTATTGTATATAAAATGTACAGGTTTTTTCTTAAAGTGTCAAATTACCGGAAAACATCTGATGACGAGCATTTGCAGTTACATGTAGTGGGCACGTGAACTTAAATTTTCTTTATCCAAGATATCAAGAAAAAGTTCTATTCTTCTTTATTTCTCATCGTTTATGTTCTGTTCCCAAATTAAGTTAATTTAATTAATTAATTTTGTTTAATGTATTTCCCTCTTTTATATAAATATGCAGGCATTTTTCTCAAATTGTCAAATGACCGGAAAGCATTCGATGACGAGAGTTAACTTTGAGCACGTGAACTTTATACAAGAGATCAAGAAAAATATCGTTTTTCACCTTCACATTAACATGTTTTACTTTCTAATACAATGTCTTTCTTTTTAATTTTAATATTTCTCGATTTTCGTGTTCAATAGATAAGATAGGATGTGCAGGTGTAATGATAAACTTCACAGACGAAATTATAGTTTATATTAATAAATATTCAATGCAAAAATTCATATATTTTTGTTTTCTTTGACAAATTCTGTTTCTTTGTGTATTAAGTATTAGCCGCGATCATTTCCTGTGTATAGGGATTAGCATTGCCTGAGCAGGAAACGACATGCCCTGGGGGTTTCACACCTTTCTTATAGTATACCTTGGGTAACGCTCGCTGGATGTGCACGTCGTTGTCTAGCCATTCAACAACACATTTGATTCATTGTTTCATTATTATTTCATCGATATCATTTTCAGATGCGATATTGGCCTTGGAATTTATGTCATATTATTGTTGCTTTTTTTTTAAACAGAGTGTATAAAAAGAATTAAAGTAAAAAAAAAACTTTTAAAACAAATTAATGAAGTATTTGATATTAATTAAATCAAATAATGATCTATTACTATGTTATTTCGTGTCTGTTTATATCTGTATCAGTTAGAAGATTGAGAGAGAGAGAGAGAGAGAGAGAAGAAAAATATCACAATATTAAGGCACGTGCATGATCGTTTTTCCTCCTTTTTGATCAGTATATCCATTTCCTAAGTCCAGCGAATAAAACTCCCGCTGATTTATCAGTTTATTGACCATTTGTCGAATTTGTCTAAGTTTTATTGTCATTTATCGAGAGACTTGTTTATGATCCACTTTCTTCTTTCGTTTAGCATATGTACATGACATGTAATTTGAATTACTTCCCTTTTTGTCGCCAGATTACAACGACAGATTTTGGTGGTAAAATAAAATGTATTTTTGTTATAAAATTTGATTACGAAAAACACAGTATATTAAAATTGTCGAGTTATTGAAAATATTTTTTTGAAACAAAAAATTTAAAAAGGATTCTGATTGCAACAAAAACATTCTTTATTTCATGCATTTCAATTCATGAGCTACACATGAAAAAAAAACTGCTTCGTTTTACAATGTCGTAGGAAAACGCATACAGGTAATACACTCAGGTAACATCCTGTGTATATAGGTAGTATGTACACTAGACAGCGTCATTCCCTCGGGGCTTCTCATCCGCTTCGAGTAAGCTCCACTCCACACCAAACTTACCTGAGGAAAACCAAACGGTTACACAGACATCTGAAAACTTGAAGCATGGCAACTTGCTGATTAAAATAAGCTAATTTCTATGTTGTGTGTTCAAATATTTTAAGGGCCCATATTTGTGTTTGTGTTTTATTTGAACCGGAGAAATCTGAAATTTGTTTATGTTCATAAACATGATTTTAGTAATTTTCGAAAAAAGCAGAAAATAGAAATACATTCAAATACTAGCTATGATATTATTGATATTCTGAATAGAAATACCTGTGATTATTTTATTAACAAGAACACCCCCCCCCCCACACACACAAAAAAAATCGTCGATATTTCATAGTCTTACAGTGTAGCGCATAATAATGGAGCAACAGTATTCCTACACTTGTAGGCGTGTTTTGTTAAAATTTAATTGTAATTATGTATTACTATCTATCATCGTTTTTCATGCTATTATTTATAACAGACATGTATACAGAAGTAACGGTACTTTTCTAAATGAAACTAAATGACTGATATAATCTCGCAGATAAATAAACACATAGCTACATGTAACTGCAACTGCACGGGCTAATTGTGAACACCGGATTACAGTGCATATAAAGA